GAAATTTCCCTCCACATGGGACTGAGAATGGTTTTAATCTTTTCTTTCTTCAAATGGACCTAACATATTTAGGGAACATTCTACCCAAGAACTGTAGAATATACAGTCCTCTTATCAGCACATGAAACATTCTCCAAGATACACCATATGATAGGCCACAAAAAATGTCTTAACACATTTTTTAAAATTGAAATAGTGTCAACTATCTTCTCAGACCACAGTGGAATAAAACTAGAAATACATTACAAAAGGAGCCATCAAAACTATACAAATATATGGAAATTAGTCTGCTCCAGAATGGTTTTTCAGTTAACAATGAAATCAAGATGAAAATTTAAAATTGCTTTGAAATAAATAGCGATACAAGTTACCAAAATATCTAGGATACAGCAAAAGCAATGCTAAAAGGAAAGTTTATAGCACTAAGTGCCTATATCAAAAAGTCTGAAAGATCGTGAATTGACAACCTAATATCACACTTCAAGGAACTAGAGAAAAAAGAACAAACTAAACCCAAAGCTAGAAGAAGAAAGGAAATAAAGATCAGAGTAGAACTAGATGAAATAAAACCAGAAGCAGTACAGAAGATCAGTAACACAAAAGACTGGTTATTTGAAAAGATAAATTAGATGATTAGCTAGATTAACCAAGAAAAGCAGGGAGAAGATTCAAATAAAGCACAATTAGAAATGAAATTGGAAACATTATAACAACACCACAGAAATACAAAAGACTATTAGAAACTACTGTGAACACCTCTATGCACGTAAACCAGAAAATATAGAGGAAAGAGATAAATTCCTGGGAACATACAATCCTTCTAGAGTACATTAAGAAAAAATAGAAACCCTGAACAGAGTAATAACAAGCAATGAGATTAAATCAGTAGTTTTTAAAAATTGCCAACAACAACAACACCATCCAGGGTCGGAAGATTCACAGCTGAATTCTACCATACATTCAAAGAAGAATTGGTGCCAATACTACTGCAACTATTCCAAAAGATTGAGGAATAGGGAATCCTCTTTAACTCATTCTATGAAGCCAGTATCACCCTGATAACAAAATCAGGAAAGGACATAACAAAAAAAAAGTACAGATCGATATCCCTGATGAACATAGATGCAAAAATCCTCCGCAAAATTCTAGCTAACCAAATCCAGCAGCACATCAAATAGATATAATAATACACCATGTTTAAGTGAGTATCATCCTAGTGATGCAAGCATGGTTTAACATACGCAAGTCAATAAATGTGATACATAACATAAATAAAGAATTAAAAACAAAACCCATATGATCATTTCAACAGGTGCAGAAAAAGCATTTGATTATATCCAGCATGCTTTGTAATAAATATCTTTAACAAATTCAGCATAGAAGGGAGTTACCTCAAAATAATAAAAGTCACATATGACAAACCACAACCAAAATTATGCTGAATAGGGAAAAGTTGAAAGTATTCTTCCTGAGAACTAGAACAAGACAAGGATGCCCACTTTAACCACTTCTATTCAACATTTTACTAGAAGTCCTGAGGGAATGTCTTCTCTTTCTGGGTCCATGAGGGGGTGTAATCTTAAGGGCAAGAATTTCCTAGCGCCATGCCCCCCCCATCTCTCTCCATGCGGGAGATTTAACGGTTTATGTTTGAATTTCATGGGCATGGGAAGAAAATAAAAGTCAATCACTCCAGCAGAAGTTCTAAGAAACTCCTTCATTGGCCAGAGGAACCTGGGAAGGTGGGAATTTCTCCCAGGATAAATTCCCCTGCTCCTTCACACACACTGATTTCCAGCTCTCTGGAATCCCCTCCCACATAGTGGGAACTCTCTTTCCCCTCCTAGATTTTCCCCTCTGGAATACTCTTCCAAACTCTTCATGGAAGTCTTTTCTCTTCTTCGTCTCTTTTCTCTACCTAAATAAAATCACCTTTCTGCAACACTTCTTGGGTCCAATATTTACTTTTATGTGATTACCGTGCACCTACAGTGGTCCCTTCTCTTATCCTTAAGAGGGTGGAGACCAAGAACCTACAACATTCTCTCAGAGAAGCTGTGCCTCACCAACACCCCCAAAAAACCCGGTTATAGTCCTAGTCAGAGCAATCAGGCAAAAGAAAGAAATAAAGAGCATTCATACTGGAAGAGGAAGTCAAACTATTGCCATTCACCAATAATATGATTGTATACCTAGACAACCTTAAAGACTTCTCCAAAAGACTCTTAGATTTCATAAATAAATTCAGTAGTCTCAGTTTATAACATCGCACATAAATCAGTAGCACTGCTGTACAACAACAATGACCAAGCTGAGAATCAAATCAAGAGCTCAATCCCTATTACATACAATAGCTGCAAAACAAAAACAAAGAATACCAAGAAATATACTTAACCAAGGAGGTAAAAAAAAAAACTCTACAGGGAGAATTATAAAATACTACTGAAATAAATCATATATGACACAAATGGAAATACATTGCGTGTTACGATTGGAAGAACCAATATGAAAATGATCATACTGCCTAAAGCCATCTACAGATTCACTGGAATTCCTATCAAAATACCAGCATCATTTTTCACAGAATTAGAAAAAGATTCCTAAAATTTGCATGGAACCAAAAAAGAACCCAAATAGCTAAAGCAATACTAAACAAAAAGAACACATCTGGCCGCATCACATTACTAGACTTTAAATTATATTACATGGCTGTAGTTACCAAAACATCATGGAACTGGTATAAAAGTAGGCACATAGACATGGAACAAAACAGAGAACTCAGAAATAAAGCCAAATACAACCAACTTATCTTTGCGAAGCACACAAAATCACAAATGGGGAAAGGACATTCTATTTAATAAATGGTTCTGGGAAAACTGACTAGCCACATCTAGAAAACGAAACTGGATCCTTATCTCTCACCTTATATAACAATCAATTCAAAATAGATCTAAGACTTAAATCAAGGGTGTCCAATCTTTTGGCTTCCCTGGACCACACTGGAAGAATTGTTTGGGGCCACACGTAAGATAGAACAACACTAACAATAGCTGATAAGCTAAAAAGAAATGGCAAAAATCTCATGTTTTAGAAAAATTTACAAATTTGAGTTGGGCCACATCAGAGACCTCACCTCTACATAATATGTCCACTTAACAAAACTGTATTTTCAGGCCTTAAATTTATACAAAAACAAAGTTTAAAAATGCTTTTGAGAGCATTTTTAAGAATTGGATTTAAGAAAGAAAAAGATTTTTTAAAACTTTCTCTAGTTACAACAAACTATCCCCCCCCCAAAAAAATCACTGAAACAATCCCATGTATAATAGTTACAAGAAAAAAAAATCTTAAAATAAAGTTAACTGAGTAGGTGAAAGACCACAATAAAACTAAAATGTTGGTGGAAGAAATTGAAGAAGACACAAATAAATGTAAGCATATCCTGTGCTTATGGATAGAAGGAATTAATGTTGTTAAAATGTCTATATGATCCAAAGCAATCTAAAGATTCAATGCAATCCTTATCAAAATCCCAATGACATTTTTTCCCAGAAATAGAAAAGCAATTTTAAAATTTTTGTAGAACTACAAAAGGCTCTGAATAGCCAAAGTAATCTTGAGCCAAAAGAACAAAACTGGAGGCATCACACTACCTGACTTCAGAGTATACTTTAAAGTTATAATAATCAAAATAGTGTGATACTAGCATGAAAATAGATACATAGACCAGTGGAGCAGAATAGAGAGTCCAGAAATAAATCCAACATTTAGGGTGAATTGATTTTTGACAAAGGTGTCAAGAACACACCATGGGGGAAGGATAGTCTCTTCAATATTGGAACAACTGAATATCCACATTCAAGAGGATGGAATTAGACTCATCTCATGCCATATATAAAAACTCAAAATGAATTAAAGACAAACATAAGACCTAAAACTCTAAAACTACTAGAAGAAAACACAGGGGAAAAGCGCTATGATTTTGACCTGGGCAATGGTTTTTTTGGTTAGGATCACAAAAGCACAGGCAAGGAAAGCAAAGACAGACTGATGGGATTATATCAAACTAAACAGTTTCTGCCCAGGAAAAGCAACAACCAACAGAGTAAAGAGACAACCTAAGAAAAGGAGAAAATATTTGCAGACTATGTATATAATAAGCGGTTAATATCCAAGGAATACAAAGAACTCAAACAACTCAATAAGAAGAAAACAACCCAATGAAACAATGGACAAAGGACCTGAATAGACATTTCTCAAAAAATAAATATACCAATGGATATATTAAAAAGTACCCAACACCACTAATCATCAGGGAAATGGAAATTAAAACCACAATGAGATATCCCCTTACACCTGTTAGTGTGGCTGTTATCAAAAATACAAAAGGTAAGTTTTGGCGGAGATGTGGAGAAAAGGGGAACTTTTGCTTACCATTGGTGGGAATGTAAATTAGTACAGCTATTAGGGAACACAGTATGGATGTTCTTAAAAAAACTAAAAGCAGAACCACTATGTGATCCAGCAATTCCAGTACTGGGTGTATATCCAAAGGAGATGAAGTCGGAATGTCAGAGATACCTGCACTACCATGTTCATTGCAGCATTATTCACAATAGCAAAGATACAGAATCATCCTAAGTGTCCATCAGCAGATGAATGGGATAAACAAAATGAGGTATATATACACAGTGGGATACTATTCAGCCTTAAAATGAAGGAAATCCAGTCATTTGTGACAACATGAATGAACCTGGAAGACATTAGTTTAAGTGAAATAAGTCAGACACAGACAACTTGCATGATCTCACTTGCATGTGGAACATTAAAAAGTTGGACTCAGAAGTAGAGTGGAATAGTGATTACTAGGCACTGGGGGTGAGATGTTAGCCAAAAGTTACCAAATTTTATTTATATATGAGGAATAAGTTTAAGAGTTCTATGGTATAACATGGTGACTATAGTTAATAACAATGTATTATGTTCTTGAAAATGGCTGAGTCAATTTTGTGTTCGCTCCACAAAAAAAAAGTGCTAAGCCTGTGAGGTAATGCATATGTTACTTTGCTCAATTTTAGCCCTTCCTCAAAGTATCCATATTTTTAATCATCATGTTTTACACAATAAATACATACAATATTTATTTGTTAAAGGTTAAAAAAAACAGCATAAAAAATTCTACCTGGGAGCAATATCCAAGGCATTTATAAGTACTCCACCCAAGGAAAAGCTGCTTGTTGCACCAGCAAGTATTAGGAAAATGACAATGCCATAGAAGCTGGAACCCAGGTAAGGCAGGCATACACTAAAGATTGCAGGAAGGAGAAGTCCTGGGGAGGGATTCAGACAACATAGTCAGGTGCATCCTAAAGATGGAGGTGAAATGTCTCTCAAGTGCTTAAAAAGGCTGTTGCTTACCTGCTGCAGTGAAGAGTTTACGGACAACAGTTACGCTGAGAATATTCCTGACCAGGAAGAAGTCTGATAAGTGACCTGCTAGGATACCACAGATGCAGGCAAACAAACTGGGAAGGGAAGACAGGAACCCATTCTGAAGAGGAACATTATTCTTGGAGTGAGTATGATGGGTAAAGCAGTACTGACACACAGCGTAATCCCTATGCTAAAATTTAGTATCTAAATGTGTACTTTCATGTAGGAAACCATCAATATACAACACCAGAATTACTGCTGGGACCACACTACCCAAAAGAAACAGAAAAATAGTTTTGAGGTCAATAATATTTGTCATAATCTGTAAAATCTTCCAGTTTCAGTATCATGAAACCTAAAAGCACTGGATAATAGAGAAGGAAGACTACACTGGGAATGAGAAATACTGGCCCTGGGGAAAATGATAAAGAGGATAAAGATAACAATTATGGACATAACGCATGTGCTTACACTGGACCAGCTGCTACTAGTCCTTGCGACAACTTCATGGTTTCATGAAGTATGATACTGAGTCAGAGAGACTCCATGAGACCTTACTGTTATGCCGACCTCTAGGCTGGTTTACTGGAAGTTCAGTACAGAATGCCACAAAGTGGCAAGCCCAGATAGACTCCATTTCTAAATGAGTGTTCTCTGGTTGTTATGGTATCAAGCAATAGGAGGTTGCCTGTATCAGTGGTTCTCCGAACCAGATAAGCACTGGGTATGCCAGTTCTTCCAAAGCAAGACTCATAACCCAGATTCATTGCCTTACTTTGGAGAGAGGATTGGTAAAAGGTTGGCAGAGTGGCAGGGTGTGGCTAAGTGATTTTCAGGGAGGCCCCCAGTCCCTGTAGGGAACGGTGGTGTTGAGCCTTAAGTAATAAACAAAGGGAGTCACACAGTGAATGGGAGACAGGGAATGTGTGCTGTTGCTGGAGTGCTAGACACTTATGTCTGCATCCGCGCCTTCTGTTCTGGGCAATGTTCGTATGAAAAGCAGAAACCGTGAGTTTCCATGTGAAGAGCAGTATACAAACAGTGTAAGGAGCTGACAAGAGCTGAGACTAGGGTCCTTAGAGATAGAAAAATGAACACAAAATCTTTCATGAAGTTAAAAAAAAAGAGCAAATGGTATACTTACCTCTTTTACATTAACATGAAGCATGGAGTCAATGAAAATTGGAGTGTACGCTGTCATGATGTTATTTGACCAGAAAAAAGTAAAAGTACCAATGGAAATAGCCCAGACTGGGAGTGATTTAAGCATAGCCTTGATAGGCAGAGATTGTCTACTTGAGCTGACCTGGAAAGAAATTCATTAATCATTAGCACATTAGAACAAACTGGAACATATTTAGTTTGGAGTAGAATCTTGGAGATGCCAATACGGAGAACTGTGTTCTACCTGCTGGACCAGGGAGGATGTGATGTATTCCTTTTCACGGATGCTTATGCATGGGTGGTCCTTGGGGTCATCATAAAACAGAAAGAGCCAGAGAAGACATAGAGCACAGCCACAAGCACCTATCAAAGCAGAATAAGTTAGAATTGGAAGTTTCTGTTTGTAGTGGACCTTTGTCAAGTTGGGATTTTTCAATGCATTAGTCTGAGAAAGTAGACCTCCTTTATCTTTTATGAAACTTTGTAACAAGGCTTATATTTTTCACAGTCCTCCTTTTATCTACAGGGACTTCTCCGTACTAGATGAGTTTTACAGAAATGGTGGTAAGCCCTATGCCCTTTCCTGATCTCCTATCCTCTGCATCCCTCTACTCATGACAGCTGGGCCTCCCTGCCCTCAGGCCCTCTTCCTTTCAAATTCTTCATGTGTTCCACCATAAGAGTATGGCATAGCTGAGCCTGCACAGGGCTTGACAATTGCCCTTTTTTTTTTAACGTTTAAGTTCAGGGATACATGTGCAGGTTTGTTATATAGGTAAACTTGTGTCATGGGGGTTTGCTGTACAGATTATTTCACTACCCAGATATTAAGCCTAGTACCCATTAGTTATTTTTCCTGATCTTCTCCCTCCTTCCACCCTCCACCTTCCTATAGGCCCCAGTGTGTGTTGTTCCCTTCTATGTGTCCATGTGTTCTCATCATTCAGCTCCCACTTATAAATGAGAACATGTGGTATTTAGTTTTCTGTTACTGTGTTAGTTTGCTAAGGATAATGACCTTCAGCTCCATTCATGTCCCTGCAAGGGACACGATCTCATTCTTATTATGGCTGCATAGTATTCAATGGTATATATGTATCACACTTTGTTTATCCAGTCTATCATTGATGGGCATTTAGGTTAATTTCCTGTCTTTGCTATTATCAGCCAGTTTTGACAGCTTAGCCTCAGCCATGTTCCTGAGATACAGCCCAGGCTTCAGTGATTATTGGAGTTCCATAAGAGTTTGACAAATTGTTTCTTTGAGTTTTCTATATTAATAACTTGACCATGAGGAATTCTCTGTTGGGACAGGATGTATATAGTGCTCACCAGTCAGTCTTCCAGAAGACTTGCATTCATTTGACAAATATTGATTAAGTGCCGATTATATACCATGCACCTATTTTAAGTACTGGGGATATAGCAGTGAATAAAATGGACAAAAATCCCTGCCTTTATGGAGTTGACTTTGTAGTGCATAAAAAAGAAAAAGATTATTCCAACAACTCCCCCAAAATTCATATAATACTGTTTATTATCTCTTTTTCAAAATGAGCAAACTGAGGCAAGGAAAGACAAATTATTTGTGGGATACAAATGTTAGTGAGTGGTACTTTACCCTTCAGCATGAATTATATTGTCCAGAGAGAAATTACAGCCCTACATGGGGAGGCTGGGGTGGAGCTCTGATGAAAGATAAGAGTTAATGGCAGGTAGAAGAGGATAAATTGGTAGAAGAGACTGAAAAGAAAAAAATGGCCATAAGGATAAAGTCCAATGCAGAGAGGGTAGAGTCAATGAAACTGAGATGGAAAGGAATGGTCTGGAAAGTTTAATAAAGAATCAAAAGAAAATGCAGGAAATAAAAATACTCTAGTTGAAATAAATAATGCCTTTGATGGACTCATCAGTAGACTAGACATGACTAAGAAAGAATCAGTGAGCTTGATAAAATGGCAATAGAAATTTCCAAAACTGAATTGAAAAGACAGAAAAAGAACTAAAAAGACAGAATGGGCTGGGCATGGTGGCTCATGCCTGTAATCCCAGTAATTTGGAGGCTGAGGTGGGTGGATCACCTGCGGTCAGGAGTTTGTGACCAGCCTGGCCAACATGGTGAAACTCCATCTGAACTAAAAATACAAAACATTTATCTGGGCATAGTGGTACACACCTGTAATCCCAGCTACTCATGAGATTGAGGCAGGAGAATCATTTAAACTCAGGGGGTGAAGGTTGTGGTAAGCTGAGATCACACCATTGCACTCTAGCTTGAGTGACAAGAGCAAGACTCCGTCTCAAAAAAAAAAAAAAAATACCAGAAGAAAGAAAGGAAGAGGGAGAGAAAGAAAAAGAAAGAGATAAAGAGAAAGATTAAGCAAAGCAAGCAAGAAGGAAGGAAGAAGGGAAAGAAGGGAAAGAAAAAATTAGAAAAACACTTAAAGCAATAATTATGGAGAATTTCTTAAAATTAATAATAAACCTCAAACCACAGATATTGGAAGCCTAAAGAATGCCAAGAAGAATAAATACAAAAAAAGTTACAACCTGACATAGTGAAACCAAATGCCCCCAGTTTTTTGAGAAAAAGGGAATTAATTACTATGTTTTTTCAATTTTCTATTCTTTTCTCTTTTCCCCTTTCCTCTTGTTCCTCATTTCCAAATTAGCCCTTCAGAAATTTAAATATAACCTTTCACCTCCTCCCTTCACCAGACATTCTTTATAGGGAAAATTCTTCTAACTATGTACTCTAAGACATAGGTCTTGTCCAGAGGTGACAGTCAATTGCACACCAAATTGCCAGGGAACTTTCATCTCTAGGGTATGGACTAGGAGCTTCCACTCTGCAGAGTTGGCTTTGGAAATTTCTTCCACCAGAGGGCATATTGAAAGCATGCTTTTTTGGCCACTTTTTCAACCTACTTCTGCCCATTAAAGTGCCACCTCAACTGTGCAGTTGATAACTGCCTGGTAGCAAGGGGACCCGTATTTCACTTTTTTTTCCCCACCACTTCAGCTCCAAAGGTGAAGTGGCACATTTAAGCAAGTAGCTTTGTGTCCCTCCCATAAGCTGGCTTTGGAATAAGTCCACTTTTCTTACACCAGGCCCAACTCTTGTTAATTGCACCCTACAAATAGTAAGCAACAAACTTGATTTTTCAGTTACAATATAATATTCAGCTTCAGTAAATCAAAGACAATTTTGAAAGATGCCAAAAGGAAAAACAGTGACCTGAAAAGTCAGGTTTAAATTTAGAATTCTGAAGACAAATCTCTGGCCACCAGTTTGAAGCTTGACTTGTTCCTACCCAGATCCATCCCCGCATCACTAGGTACTTTGGAAATGTGTGGAAATCCTTGCATTCCCCATTGTGCACCATTCATATCTTCTGCAAATAGTGCCTCCTTCCTCCCTTGGTCACTACCCAATTCAATGAATATTGGGAGGAGCTCTGCTGGTCTTTTCCAGTATAACCAATAACCCTGGTTCTATTTAATCAAGACATTCCAGTTATGATTATTAGAAGGAGAGTTGTGGGCTCTCCTGAGGCTACTGCAGTGGCGCCTGGCCTATGAAGAGAACCTAGCTAGAATGGGCTCTCTACAGTGTGGAATCCAGGGCAAGGGCCCTCTTGCCTGGGCCTCAGGTCAGCTCTGACGGAAGCCATAAATGATCTTGGCAACAGCTGTGTTTGATGGCACAAACACTAGTCAGATGTGAGTTAAGGAGAGTGTGAGAGGCTAGGAAATGTAGACAATGGGTACAGACAGATTATGCAAAATAATTTCAATGGTCAAAGGGAGGTTACTTGAGGTGGAGGACAGGGGAAAGGGAATTCTTTTATAGATTTGAGAAGAGTTGAGTAGTTTGAAATAGTCTTTAGGAGACAAATATAGCAGGATGGCAGGCCATTTTGAGTGCAAATGTAAGTCTGTGACTCAATTTTCTCTATTTAGTAACCTCTAGCAATTATCAGCTGCTTAAATACAGTCATTGTCTTATTCTTTAAAACAGTATCTATTCAGATTTGTTTAACTTTTTTGGCAAGAATATTCAATCGGAATTTTGAACAACGTTGGCTTTAGTTTTTCCTTTGCCATCAACTTGGGAAGGTCATTTGACATATGTGGGCATCATGTAATTTCTAGTTTTATCACGGAGCCACCCATGATAACTGTAAGTGGCATACATTACTTTACATGATCTTATAGGAATACAACGTAAATATTAGATATCATCTAACCCTCGATCAGCAGTCCTGGGCAGCATTATTTATTGAAAAGTTTTCCTTACATGGAGCTGAAACCGCACACCCCCACCCCTGCAATTTCTACATATTTGTGTTAGTTTTATAATTCAAAACAGGTCTGCATTTTATTTATATGACAGTCCTACAAGGTACCTACTCTCAAGTTTTCTTTTCTTCGGGCTAGACAGTCTCAGTTTTTTCAGCCCCTTTCCTGATAAGGGGCTATGTTTCATCACTATACTGACCATTGTCTACTACTGAAGATTAACATAGTCATTAACAGCAATGTAATTTTGAGGATGGAAGATGTGTTTTCAGATTATGGCTCTGTTTTCTGCTCACTGTTTGTATTGGATGTCTTCTGTTTGTCCCCCCTACTCCTCCTCACCCTTCTTCACTTGCCTTGGCTACAGATGACTGACTTGAATGAACATCAGTAGGCCCCCATGTCCTCTGATTCCACCTGGATTTGGCCAACAGAAATTCCAGACAGAGATGAGAGGGAGAGAACTGAGTGAAACCCAGGTGCCTTTTCAAACCCTAGTTATCTCCATCCTATGATTACCTCAATCTATGTGTCCTTTTATAAAACATCATGAGTTCTTTTAAGGCTCTATAGGACTCTCTCCTAATGGATTCTGGTAGCTACTCCCTTGTTTGATCCCTTTGGATCTGGGGATGCTAGATGCTACTGGCTCCTGTATTGCTAGCTCCAGGTAACTCCACGATCCCTGGGAGTCCACCACATCTCATACCTACCTTTTTAAGTGATCATTTTGTAAATAAATTATTCTGATTTTGCCTTAAGTATATGACTTTGGGCAAGTTACCTAAGCCTTTTGAAGTTTCCTCCCATGTCAAATGGGCATCATAGAACCTTTCCACATTTTCTTATTCACAAACCTGAAAACTTTTGCATCTAAGAGCCAAAAATGATTTTGTCACTTATTCGTAAATCTTATTTCTGTTTAGTTTTTTTTGTGTGTTCTAGTTTGCACAAATTTCATTTTTTTGCTGTAGAAATTAATGTGTTTGATTATGGGGTTGTGCTCCACATCATGCTTTGAATGTTAAGTATAAAAGGTAATATCTTTCTGAAATCTGTAAAGTTATTTGTTCTGATCATCTTTTTCCAGGAGACTTTCATATAAAAGCATATTTGTCTATAGCACCAACATTAAAGAATTATAAAAGTTATGTACAGAAATACATGTATAGTTCATAATGCCTTGCTTGTGACAGAAACTTAATATTGACTTTTCTCTTTCACTCAGTGGGGTTCATGATTTTTAATGTTAGTTTTATATGATTTTTATATGAATTAAAATTTATGTGAAAATTCAATTTTATATGAATTTTATTTAATATTGGGTTTTAATGTTGAAATTTTCTTAGATTCTGAATAATAACCAGGATTTTACAGAAAGAGACTCACCAAAAATATAGAAGACCATGGGCCAGCCCAGAGATTCACAGATAACTCCAGTCACAACCAGGACAATAAAGGGTCCCAATAAAAACCCTAATCAGAAAGTACAAAGAACACCTCTAATTAATGCAGGCATCTGAAAGTATAGATAATGTAACCTTACTGTAGCAAAGAACAATTTCCTGTGAAATAAATTTGTGTAGCATAACACTGATCAGAAGAAAATAATAAAATATTTGCTTTTCTCTCTTTTCCTCTGTTGTTTGAGATAAGAATGCCTCTTCTCCATTCTATACAATTTTCTCATCTTCACAGCAAGAATGCTGAGATAGATGATTTCCAAAGCCCTTGACAGTTCGAAACACACATGTTTCTTACGGCTCTAGGGAAGCACATAATACAATGAGACGAAAATGGGATTCAAACACTCTAGGCTCTAAGTCTTTACCTGATGTACTCATAGAAGTAAGTCGGCCTCGTTCCAGGGGAGGAGCCCATTTGACATGTATTTCAAATTGGGCTGTTCCAACTATCCCCTGAAATAAGAAAGTTTTGACATTTAATCTCTAACACTTCCTGTGAATTTAAACTCTGTTCAGTTTTAGCATTATTTTAATACCTGGGCTGCTCCCTGAACTGTTCGACATGCAATGAGCCAAGCTTCTCCAATTCCAGCTGCTGGTGGGATGAGCAGGCTTATCACAGAGCTAAGGCATAATGCAAAGCCAATTATTTTCTTTACAGAATATATCCTAGAGAAGTATCCAATAGGAACTTGAATGATGACGAAACCATAGAAGATAGAACTCAAGATGATTCCCTGGATATCTGGGCTCCAATTATACACAGGGTTCTAAAAGACAAGCGGGGACACATTGAGTCACTCTGCATATCATAAATTTACTGTGATATTTAGGGATTTAGGGAAACTGTTCTTCTGGCTCACCTCATGTAAAGTAGCTCCCCTCTTACTAGCATTCTTTAACCAGGACCTTCTTTATTCTTTTATCACACTGTTTACTTATTTACATTTTACCATTGGAGAAATGTAAAGTCCTTACAGCCAAGGACACCATCTGTACCTCCCTCCAGCACCTTCCATAGCATAGACATTTAATGTTTGTTTCTTGAATGTTGCTAAACTGCATGTAAACTCCTCCTGCATAGCATACATACATTAAAATAGTTAATTTTCTGTACTTCATAGTACTACTTAGACTACAGTTGTGAATTTCCTCTTGCCTGTTCTCCTTCTCTAAGGCGTCCATTAAGTTAAGCTCATTCACAAAACCACTTTTCTCCATATACATATTGCTCCCAGAGAGAAAAGTCATGATAGAGAAAAGATAAAACCATGAAGAGGTCTCAGCCTGAGCTGTAAAAATAACTACACAGGACAGTTAAAAGGAAAAGGCCATTTCTATTCTTTCACTTGGCTCCGATGTGGCATATTTTTTCCAGTAATGTATTTGTTTGTCCGTTCCTAAGTTAGAGGGCCATCTATAGCTTTTTTTTTACATTATTAAGGAATGATAAAAGAAAATTCTAATATTGAATTTATTGTTGACATTATGAGTGAGGAGGTTGCACATGTTTTTGGACCCACTGAACAGTCAGTTCAGTTCATATGTGTGTTGAAAAGTCAGTTGATCATATGTGTGTTAGTCTATTGTATTTCATTGATTTATTTTCTGTCTTTACACTAATTCTACGCTGTCTTGATTACTATAACTGTCTCAAAATTAGCAGTAGGTAGTATTAGTTCTCCAACTACTAATTTTCAACGAACATTGAGGCAATTCAGTGGAGAAAGAATAGTTTTCTCAACAAATTGTGCTGGAAAAAAATTGTATATCCATATGTAAAAAAAGATTTTTAATGTAACATATACAAAAAGTTATTTAAAATGAATCATAGATTTAACTGTAAAATGAAAAATTATGAAACTTCTAAAACATAGAATTCTTTTGGTCTTGGGTTGTGCAAAGATTTCTTATATGCAATAATGAAACCACAATCCACAAAAAAAAGTCAGAAAGAGTTCTTCAGGCAGAAGAAAAGTGATATAGCTAAAAAGTGTAAGTCTACAATTAAGAAGTAAAACCAGTAGAAAAGAATAAATGAAAGTGGAAAATATTTTATTTTGAATTGATCTAAAAGATAACTTTTTGTTGAAGGAATGTTTTGAGGGTTTATAACATAGATACATAAGATGAACAACAGTAGTCACAAGAGATGGGAGAGAGGAATCAGAACTATTATGTTACATGAAGCCTTCATGATACATGAAATAGTATAGTGTTATTTGGAGGTAGATTTATATTATTAAAAATGTATATTTAAAAACCTATGGAAGCTATTAAAACAGTTTTTTAAGTGTAAATAATATATCAAGAGAGGAGATAAAATTCAATCATACAAAATGCTCAGTTAAACCCAGAGAAGGCAAAATGTGAATGAAAAAAAATTTAACAAAGAATAGATTTAACAAATAGAAAATAGTTACCAAGTGTGTATTTGTCTATTCTACCTTTCAGTTCTCAGTGTTTGCCTCCTATTTTGTGCTGCTCTGTTGTTAGGGATACACATATTTAGAATCATTTGTTTTTGGAGAATTTACTCCTTTGTCATTGGGTAAT